TTCATTTTTCTCCTCCTCCTCCTCCTTCTTCTTCTCTGACATAGGGTCTCACTATGTTCCCCAGTCTGGTCCCCAACTCCTGGGTTCAAGCAAACCTCCTGCCTCAGCTTTCTGAGTAGCTGGGACTACAAAAGAATGTTCCCCGGGCTCAGCTCTGTATTCCATTGAGAAGATTTTCTCTTCATCTAATTTTTTTTAATTTTTAGTTTTTGTAGTTATAGATGCACAGCATGCCTTTATTTTATTTGTTTATTTTTATGTGGTGCTGAGGATCAAACCCAGTGCCTCACATGTGCTAGGCAAGTGCTCTACCGCTGAGCCACAACCCAGGCCTCTTCATCTAATTTTCTGAATTTATTGGCATAAAGTCATTCACAGCAATCACATGTAATTTTCTAATATCTCCCAGCACATGTCCCTCTCTGCCATGCCAATTCCTATGCAGTCCTGTGCCCCAAGGCTTCATAGTCACGATTCAGAATACCAACCCTGAGCTGGTCATGCTAGTGCATGCCTATGATTCCAGTGCCTTGGGAGACTGAGGCAGGAGGATCACAAGTTTGAGGCCAGCCTCAGCAACATAGGGCGATCCTAGCAACTTAGCAAGACCCTATCTCAAAATAAAAAATAAAAAGGACTAGGAATGTGGCTCAGTGGTTAAGCACCCCTGAATTCAATTCCCAGTACCAAAAGGAAAAAAATTTTTTTAAAGTAAAAGAAAAAAAAGAGTATATATAAATGTCCTGAGGAACATACACCAGAGTAAAGAGTGACCATTGCTGGATGGTGGGAGCACCCAGAATATTCTATATTGTACATTTCCACATTATTTGAATGTCTGATGATGAGCATGTAATCTTGTAATAATTATAAGATAATTAGAGATGGAAAAAAACCAAACAGAGGAGGATGTCAGGTGGTGGATTAGTGTAAAAAAGCACTTGCGTTCTGGCTGAGCCACCTCGGGGGAGGGTTTCCTTCCTTCCAGGATGGATCTGTTTTCCCTTAAATCCCTGGGGGTGACTGAAGGTGGGGGGAGCAATGGAAAAGTTAGGGCTCCAGAGAAGCCGAGTCTCAGGAACCTCTGGTAATTTTCTCCTTGAGCAAAGGGAACTTGGGGCTGGCCCTCATCAGAGCACCTTGCACCCCACGCCCCAGCCAGCCACCACGCATGCACCTGCAGCCTGGCCCAGCCCTGACCCAGGGCTCCAAGGTGGCCAAATGCACAGCAACTAGAACACACACAAGCCCTGAGATGCGGGTGCCTACCTGGACAGCCCAGAGGCCCCGCACCCACTGGGGTCAAGGCCTACATTTTCTGGACATTTCACCTTGTGGGACCAGGCAGTGCGGTCCAGGGAGCTAGGAGGGAACTGGCACGTGAAATGGTTTCTCTGCCTTGCTCCCAGGTTGCCAGGGTAAAATTCATGAACACGCTTGATGGCTTCATTACTGATGAATGAGCTCCAGCTATGCCTGACCATCCCTGGACCCGACCCAGGCGGCTCCCTGCTCCTCCTAACAGCACATTCAAAGCTGGGCAGTTCTCCCCCAGGCCAGGCTCCTACACAGCAGTCCGTTGAAGCTGCCTCCTCCCCTGAGCTGGCCTGGCCTTCCTCTTTCAGGCCTTGCCCCTGTCTGGCTGGGCACAATTCACAAGCCACTTGTCAAGCAGAAACGAACTTTATTTTTAGAACACACACACCACACCACACAGCTCTTCAGGAATTCCCTCAGAGCCCAACTGCCACCACTGGCTTCCCACAAGCCTCTCAACCCCCCCCCCCACTCCTCCCGCTCTTGAGGCTGATTGGCTGGGTCGTGTGGGCGGAGCCAAAAGAGTCCCCCAATGAGCAGCTCCGTGGTCTGAAAGGGCGGGGAAACAGCCCAATGAGCATCACTGCAGAGGAGCCAATCAGCTGGCAGCTGGAAGTTTGCTGGGGCCACGGTGAGCCAATCAGCTGGAAGTTTGCTGGGGCCCGTTTGGCTGTGGCTCTCAACAAGGCCTCTTGGCCCAGATGTGTCTCCATGCAAGTATTAGGTCTTTTGTGAGGCAGACTGGCTGAGGCGCCACATACCTTCCAAGGCTGGCCTGGCACTGGGTCTTTGAACCCCTCATCCTGGTCCTTTGCCTCTGAGGCCTGGATTTCCCTAGACCATCTAGCCTTTCTCTTTCTCCCTCAGCAGAGTTCCTCTCTGCAGGCTATAAATGGGATCCATATCCAGGCCTTGGAAAACCAAACTCAAATCAGGTCCTGGCATAGCCAACCCCATGGCTCTGTGCCCTAGCCAAGGCAGAACTTCATGGCAGAAGGGCACGGAGGAGGAAAGCAGCTCAGAATGGGACAAACAGGAAGCAGAGTGACTCTGCTCACCAGATAAAAATATACACCCCAAAGGCACACCTACAGTGACCCACCGACTGCAGCCACAGCTCACCTGCCTTCAGGTAGCACCCAGTTAATCCACTCAAGCACTGATCAGGTTAAGGCTCTCAAACCCAATCATTGCACCCATGAATTCTCCTCATTGTTTCACACATGTGGGGACACTTCCTGTCTAAACCATAACACACACCATGCTATCCCCCGCCTTTTTTTTTTTTTTTTTGGTATCAGGGATTGAACCCAGAGGTGCTTAACCACTGAGCCACATCCCCAGCCCTTTCTTTCTTTATAAATTTATTTTGTGGTGCTGGGGATTGAACCTAGGGCCTTGTGCATGTGAGACCCTTTTTTTATTTTGAGACAGGGTGTCAGTAAGTTGCTGAGGCTGGTCTCCAACTTGGGATCTTCCTGCCTCAGCCTCCCAAGTTGCTGGCATCACTGTGGTCAGCTTCAACGTGTTTTCTGAGGTTCATACTTGTCCTTGTATGTGGACGTACCACAATTTGCTTATCAGTTCATCTATTGATGGTTATTTGTGCTAGTTCCCTTTTCATTTTTCAGTTATGATGAATAAAACTGCTATGAATATTTGTGTACAAATCTTTGTGAGAACATCTGTTTTAACTTCTTATGGGGTAAATATCTAAGAGTAGAAATGGTTGATTCATATACATTCCTTATAAATTCTATGTTTAAATTTATAAGGAAATGCCACACCATTACCTTGCCTGGCTAAGATATAATTTACATACCATACGGTCTGCGCATTTAAAATATATCATTCAATCCAGGTGTGATGGCTCACGCCTATAATCCCAGCAGTTCAGGAGGCTGAGGCAGGAGGATCGTGAGTTCAAAGCCAGCCTCAGCAACTCAGCAAGAGCCTGTCTCTAAATAAAATATAAAAAAGAGCTGGATATGGGGCTCAGTGGTTAAGGGCCCCTAGGTTCAATCCCAGGTACCAAAAATATAAATAAATAAATATATAAATAAAATGGCTCATTCAAGCCAGGTGCAGTGGTCACTGAAATCCCAGCCACTTGAGAAGCTGAGGCAAGAGGATCACAAGTTTGAGGCCCACCTTAGCCACTTGTGAGACCCTGTCTCAAAATAAAATAATTAAAAGGGGAGGGGATATAGGTCTGTGGTAGAAGACCCCTAGGTTCAATTCCCAGAACCTAAATAAATAAATAAACTGTATCATTCAATGTGGGGCGTGGCTTAGCACATGTAGTGCCCTGGATTTAAACTCCAGCACTGCAAAAAAAAAAAAGTAAATAAATTAACAAACATAAATAAAGTGCACCATTCGGTGGTTTTTGGTATTCACAGATATGTGTAATCGTTATCACTTTGGTTTCTTTACATATCATAAATTCGTTGAAAATTGGGCACTTCAAATAATATCATGTGGAACTCTCAAGAGCAATTTGTCTGCCCTGCTCCTTTTATTCTTGTCTCTTTCTTTCTGAATCAGTTCTTTAAAGTGTTGTTCTGTGTCATGCGTGGCCAGCGCAGTGTCTGCTGGGTTTGCTTAGGTGCTCAGTTAATGAGTGGAGTGAGATTTCCTTAAATGTCTAGAAACAATCTTCTCGAAGTTTCTGCGGCTCTTTGCTGTGGTGTTCCTGGGTCGGCCCTCCAGCTCAGCTAGCTCTGCTACCTCTGCCTTAGCCTCTGCTTCCTGCCTCCTCGGAGCCTCAAGGCCAGCCAGAGAGAGGGCTGAGGGCCTTCTCAGCCCTACAGAAGAAGCTGACCTTCTAAATCTCCAGGAATATGTCAGAGGTTTTCAAAAGCCCCTATAACCCTCCCCTTCACAAGCTTTCCCTCTTCCTATTGTCCCTGTCTCTGTTGGCAATATTTCTAGTTGAATTGGAACTTTGTAGGTTCCAGAAAACAGCTACTCTTCAGGGAGGTCAGCTGGAAGTCATCATGGAGAAGGGCCTCAGGGCCTAGTTAGGTAGAGAGAGTCAGAGAGGTGATTCTAGCTGAGACCTCTCCATGGTTGCTTTCCTGGGACCGCCTCCGCTCCTGGGCAGCCTGTCCCCTTCTCTCCCTGATGACTGTGTCCGCCGCTTATTCATTCATCCTTTCTACTCTCTTATAACCTCTGATTACCCGTGGCATCTCATTATGACATCTTAACTCCTGCCCCAAGGTTAACCCATGTGTCCTAGTTTCATTACCAACTTAGAGAAAACCTTGTCCAGCTGAAGGTAAGGTGGAGACAGATTTTCTATAAAAAACACCTTCCAGAGGCTGTGGGTGACACAACTTCACTCAGGAGGTGCTGAGGATTGGCACTTTTCGTTTTGTTTGGTACCAGGGATTGAACTCAAGGACACTGAGTTACGTCCCCAGCCCTTTATTGTACTTTATTTAGAGACAGGGTCTCACTGAGTTGCTTAGGGCCTCACTTTTGTTGAAGCTGGCTTTGAACTCGAGATCCTCCTGCCTCAGCCTCCTGAGCCGTTGGGATTACAGGCGTGCGTCAGCAGTGTTAGACTGAGTTTAACTCTGGCTTCAAGCTGCCTCTGTAAGTGTGGCCTTTCTCTGTCCACAGTGAACTACAGCCTACCTTCATGTGTAAAAAGACTGTAGCCTATTCTTTTTCTTTGGTGATGCTGGGGATGGAACCCAGGATCCCATGCATGCCAGGCAGGTGCTCTTCCACTGAGCTACACCCCCCGCCCATGTAACCCAGTCTTGTCATAAGTAGCTGAGTCTCAGCCAATCACAGGCAGTCAACTGTTCAAACCACATTCCCATAAGACACACTTGAGTTGTAACCACTTAGACTACCTCTGTACCCTACTTCTATTCTTGTGTGTCACTTCCTTTTGTCTGGCTATAGATATAACCTGCCCATGTGGTGAGATGGAACATTCTGGACCATTTTTGGCCTATACTGCTGCCTAATTCTAGAACTGCAAATGAAGCTAATTAAGGTCTATAAAACTGGATTTGTTGTAGTTTTCTCAAACAGGAGACATCATGAAAGGCACATCTATGATTGTCACATGCTATGGCACAGCAGGATAGTTAAGAGAAGAGCATCCAAAGCCAAACTGCCCCAACTTGTCAGTGTCCTTGGGTAAGTGAACTTCAAAGGACCTCAGTATTCTTATCTGTAAAATGGGAATAGTGATAATAATTCTACCTACTGCAGGAGGATTAAATGAACGGGTGTGTGTAAAGTGCTTAAAACAGCATCAGGCATGTAATAAGTGCTCAATAAATTCTAGAAATTATTCTCCATCTTTTTTTTTTTTGGTGGGGGGGCAGGGTACTGGGGATTGAATCCAGAGGTGCTTAACCACCGAACTACATCCCCAGCCATTTTTATTTTTTAATTTTGAGATAGCATCTTGCTAAGTTGTTGAGGGTCTTCTAAGTTGCAGAGGCTAGCCTTGAACTTGTTATCCTCCTGCTTCAGCTCCCCCAGTTGCTGGAATCACAGGTGTACACCACCACACCCAGAAGTCACTTTCCTTTTCAAAATAATAGTACCAGCTAGCATGGTGGCCCAGCCTGTAATTCCAACAACTCAGGAGGCTGAGGCAGGAGGATCACAAGTTTGAGGCCAGCCTTGGCAATTTATGGAGACTCTATCTTAAAGTAAAAAAGTAAACAATATAAAGGGCTCGGGGTGTATCTCAGTGGTAGAGCACTTGCTTAGCATATGTGAGGCCCTGGATTCACTGCAAAAGAAGAGGGGCAGGTGTTTACTGAACGTAAGTTTATTTAGTCCAGAAATATCCATATCTCCCATTAGTCTCCCTTCTGCTCTGAATAAAGGAAACTGAGAGACCCAATTATTTTGTGAAAATTATGCTTAGAAAAAGTGGTAGACATGCCCACCTGATCCCTCTTGTCCCCTTCTTCCTGACTTGCAGTACCCCTCTATTACTGGAGGCAACATTGTGTCCAAATAGGCCACGGTGTTTCCCAGCCTCTCTTTCAGTTAGGATGACACTGATGTGTACATAGAAGTTGACGAATGGGGTTTCTAGGAAAGGGGTTTGGCTTCTAGCCCCACTCCTATTTCCTGCCTAGAATGTGGTTTATTGTGTGTGTGTGTGTGTGTGTGTGTGTGTGTGGTGCTGGGGATTGAACCCAGGGCCTTGTGCATGTGAGGCAAGCACTCTACCAACTGAGCTACATCCCCAGCCCCCAAGAATGTGGGTTTGATGTTAGACATTTTGTGCCGTTCAGGATGGAAGCCATGTTCTATGAGGGAAGAAGTAGAAAAATAGTACCTGGGCCTTAGTCTGCTTATTTCCAGACTTTTCTGACATAAAAGAGAAATAAGCCTTCATCTTGTTAAAACCACACCTAATCCTAGCTGGCACAGCAAACACAAAATCAGACTTTAGGAAGGAGAATACTTCTGAGTGATCATTTATGTAGGCCAGAGTACAAGTGCCCTTGCTGTCCCCCAGAAGCCACCTATGATAGGCAGCCTCAAAGATGACCCCAGATGATCTTTGCTTCCTAGTGTTCCCTCCCTCGCACACACCCTTCCCACAGAAGCAGGGCTGATCCCTTCAGTCCACGGGAGACGGAGGAAGTGCTCGGGTGTCATTTCTGAGGTTAGTCTACTAAAGACACTGCAGCTTCCACCTGCTCCCTCTTGGACCACTCATTCTGGGGAGGGCCAGTTACTGTGTCATGAGGACACTCCAGCAGCCACGTGGAAAGGCCCACGTGATGAGAAACTGAGGCCCCCGACCCACAGCCAGCACTGCTAGCAGATTACATGAGTCAGCCATCTTGCAAGTGGATCCTCCAGCCCCAAGAATTCAGAGGCTGCAGCCCAGGCTTGATTCAGGCCCTGGTCTGAATCACCCAGATAGCCACTCCCACATTCCTGACTCACAGGCCTTGTGAGATAACAAGTGTTAATTATTGTTTTACCCTGCTACATTTTGTTACACAGCCGCAGATAACTGATACACCATCCTATGGGGTCCTCTTTCTGGGCTTCTCTCCTGCCCTTGGCAAAGAGAATGCTGCTAGATTCTGGCTCTTTGGGCTCGTGGACTCTGGAGCAGCCCTTCCCAATGAGAGGGCCCTGTTCTCTAGATGCTGGAACTAGACACAGGCCTGCCCCAGAGACGGATCATTGTAAATATCTTGCAGGCCCAAATGGAAACTGAGTCCTTCTACGGAATCAGAGACTCTTCTGGGTCAGAGTGCTTGGAAAGGGGATCACTAATCCCAAGAAAACTGGATAGTTAAAGACAGACCTTTTTTTTTTTTTTTTTTTGTGAGTGGGATGCTCTACCACTGAGCCATATCCCCAGCTCTTTTATTTTTTATTTTGAGACAAGTTCTCCCTAAATTGTCCAGGTTAGCCTCAAATTTGAGATCCCCCTGCCTCAGCCTCCTGACTCTCTGGGATCACAGATGTACACCAGCACACCTGGCAGTGCTGGAGTCTAATCCAGGACCTCACACCTGCTCGGCAAGTGCTTTAACACCGAGCTACAGCCCAGCTTAAGGTTCGATGGCCCTTGGTGTCCATTGGTTCCAAGAAACATACACCCTGCCGGATGCCAAAATCTGCAGGTACTCAAGTCCCTCCTACAACATGGCATAGTATTTGCCTATAAGCTACACACATCCTCCCATGGACTTTAAATCCTCTCTAGATGAGTTATAATACTTCATACATTTAAGTGCTGAATCAATAGTTGCTATACTATATTGTTTAGGGAATAATGACAAGAAAATACGTCTGCACATGTTCAGTATAGACGCAAGTGTGTGTGTGTGTGTGTGTGTGTGTGTGAGAGAGAGAGAGAGAGAGAGAGAGAGAGAGAGAGAGAGAGAGACTGGGGATTAAATCAGGGGGCCTTGCATGCTAGGCAAGTGCTCTACCAATGAGCCACATCCTCAGAACTTTTTTAAATTTTATTTTGAGATAGGGTCTTGCTAAAGTGCTGAGGGTCTAAGTTGCCAAGGCTAGCCTAAAATTTGGGATCTTCCTGTCTCAGCCTCCCAAGTCCTGGGATTATAGGTGTGCAACACCGAGGCTGGATGCAATTTTTTTTTTCAGAATCTTTTCAATCTGCAGCCAGGCATAGTGGCACATGCCTATAACCTAGTTACTAGAGAGGTTGAGACAGGACGAGCACAGGTTTGAGGCCTGCCTTGGCAATTTAGTGAGATCCTCAGCAATTTAGAAAGACCCTTTCTCAAACTAAAAAAAAAAAAAAAAATTAAAAAGGGCTGGAGATGTAGCTCCATGGTAAAGCACCCCTGGGTTTCAATCCCTATGATCAAAAAGAAAAGAAAGAACATTTTTAATCTGTGATGAGTTGAATCAATGAATCAATGGATAGAGAATGCACAGATACATGCCAGGTGCCATGGCGCATGCCTGTAATCCCAGAGGCTCAGGAGGCTAAGGCAGGAGGATCCCAAGTTCAAGGCCAGTTTAGCAATTTAGTGAGGCTCTAAGCAACTCATTGAGACCCTGTCTCTAAATCAAAAATAAAAAGGGCTAGGGATGTGATTTAGAGGTTAAGCATCCTTGGGTTTAATTCCCAGTACCAAAAGAAAAAAAACAGAGATACAAAAATCCAACTGTATCTCTGTTGTTTTATACATGTGCATGCAAAATGAGAATTGCTGTTGTTTTCTTTTCTTTTTGGTATGTGTGTGTTGTTTTTGTTTTTGTTTTGTTTTGTTTTGTGGTGCTGGGGATGGAACCCCGGGCCTCATGCATGCTAGGCAAGCGCTCTACCACTGAGCTATACACCAGGACCCTGTATTTTTTAATTTTAATGTAAATGTGATAGCTATGTAATATACACACGAAAAAGACACACATTACACATGCACAGCTCAATCACTTTTCACAAAGTGAGCCCAGCTCAAGAAAGAGAATGTGATCAAAGAAGCGCCTCCTGCGCCCTTCAGGACACCACCTCCCAGAAGGTAATTTGTAACCAGACTCCTGACAACATAGTGTACTTTTCCTGTTTTGGAAATTTTTATAAATTGAAACCTAAATGCATGCATTTTTATTAGTTGATGATGAATTTTTTTTACTTTATTTATTTATTTGTATGTGGTGCTGAGAATTGAACCCAGTGCCTCACACATGCTAGGCAAGTGCTCTACCACTGAGCCCAACCCCAGCCCCTAAGCATGCATTTTTTGTATGCACATATTTTACATTTTACATTAGTGGTATTGGGTGATATATTTTATCCTCTTTCTTACCTATTTTTCACCAAGGACTGAATTATTCAGGTCTATTTCATTAATATGTGTACATATAATCCATGGCTTCTGATTGCTGTATGGGCAATAGGCACCCACCACACTGAACCTATGCACAGTCCTTGAGGTGGACCCAGATCCCCTGGGGATCTCTGCCTCCACTGTGCACACTGCAGTGACCATTTCTGTACACTCCACCTGGAGCATGGATACAGGTTGTACAAAAAAGCACCGACACAGCAAACAGCCTCTGACACCTGTATCCTGTGGTCCCCTGCATGCTAGGTTGGCTCTAGACTAGCATCCAGAAACTTCTATTTAGAGAAGGTTTCCCCTATTTCTAGAACTGATAAAAGTGGCTCACTTTGCCTCAATTGTTTGCACAAACAATATGGTTCACGCAGGATACCTGCTTTCCTTCTGAGAGTGTGGTATGTGCTGGGTAGAGAGTGCCA